TGAAAATGCTCCCCGCTCACTGCTGTTCTGTGTAGGGTCTGCTATATGATAGCAGCAGGGGAGGAAATGGTAACTTCTCCTGAGGTTGTGATGTTATTAAGGAATGCTCTGTCTAGCATAGTCCTGGGCCTGGAGTCAGGAAGACCTGAGTTCAAATGCGACCTCAGACACTTACTAGCTAGGTGATCCTGGGCAAGTCATTTAACCCAGTTGGCCTCAGTTTCCTCAACTGTAAAATGAGCTGGAGAAGGAAATGACAAACCACTTCATTATCTTTGCCAATAAAACCCCAAACGGGGTCACAAAGAGTTGGACACTTCTGAAAAGACCGAATAACAACAACAGCATAGTTACCAGGTACCTACTGCCAGCAAGGCATTCAACTGGAGACAAGGACAAACATGGAAGGCCCCTGCCCTCAAGAAGCTTGCTTTCCAAAGTCTAGGGACAGCCACATGAGAACGGGCTGGTAAGTGTTTAACAAATGGCTTTCCAAACATTTACATTTAACCTGAATATTAACACTTTCTCCATCACTTTCCTAAATCTAGAAAACACAATAGTAAATCTGGCCCTGATCTGTTTGCTTGACCAGTTCTGAGGTGCAAGTGCTCACCCTGAAGTTTCAATTACCACCTCTTTCCAGCTTCTCTGACAAACCCCTACAGATACAAGATCTCAGGATTTTCCAAAGGGTAAAAAATAACACAGTAGTTCTGGGAAGTATGGATAGTCATTTGGCTGGTTGTTCATCCATTGCAGAATTCTAGAATGGATTATTCAACTATTGATCTCAAAAGACCTTAAGCATGATAGTAATAACTAGCATCTCTGGAGTGCATGAAATGTGCCTCAAAACATCCCTAGGAGGCAGAAATCAGTGAGAACGTCATGCCAGATGGTGTTTCCTTTTCCGAAAGGAAACTGTTGCAATTTTTGTCTGTATCTCTAGCATGTTGCTTCATGCCTTCTACATAGTAAGGGACAGCTGGGGGCATTGCAGTGGATACAGCACTGGGCCTGTAATCTGATTTCATTCCTGGCCTCAGACACTTACTAGCTGGGTGATCCTGGGCAAGTCACGTCACCCTGTTTGCCTCAGTTTCCTCATCTGTAAAATGAGCTGAAGAAGGAAATGGCAAACCACTCCAGCATCTTTGCCAAGAAAACCCCTGATGGGGTCACGAAGAGTCAGATGTGACTGAAATGACTAAAAAATAATATAATAGGTGCCCAATAGACATGTTTTGGATTGAATTGGTTATTGAGTCTTCTAAACCGGACATAATTCATTTCGATTTCAACAGACTTCAAGAAGACATAGGAAGGAGAAAGTTTCTTACAATATCTTTGGAGAGAAGGGGAGAGAATGTGCTTTGGACATTGGCACAGTTTGGTCATTCAAGGACAAACTCGACTCTGTCATCAGATAAATTCTGCTTCTTTGCTTACTACCTGTGTGACCATAGACCCACAATTCCCCCTTCTTCATCCCTTGGGTTCCTCAACTCTGAAATGAGGTTGGGTGCACTGAATGATTTCTATAATAGTTATTTTACATCTGTTGAAGAATAGGGAGCTGGGGCGGGATTAATGACATTATCTCAAAGTAGGAGAAGTGGTATCTAGTGGGATGCCACAGGGCCCTGTCCCTGGCAACCTTTTTTGGCAGTGACTTAGATGAAGATAGTTGCAGATAATGCAAAGCTGAAAAGGATAACTGACACCCTAGATGACAGAATTAAACTCTCAAAAGATCTTGGCAGGCTGAAACAATGGGCCAAGTCTGGCATGATGAAATACAGTGTCTTACCCTTAGGTTGTGTAAAAAAATTAATCTCTTGCACAAGCCCAGGATGGGGAAGATGTGAGATGAGGCAGCAGTTTGTGCAAAACTGGATGACCACTGTAAACTCATTATGACTCAGCCGTGTGTGTGACATGGAGCCAGACACCAGTTCAAGCAACTTGGGCTTTGGGAACAGGAGCCAGAAATGAGAAGATGAAGGTCACTCTAGACAGAGCCTAGAAGTGGACCCCATCCAGAGCACCAGGCTCAGGTCAGGTGGAGACCACAGTTGAGGACCATCAGTGCCAAGTGGGAGAGATTCAGAGGGCAACCCGGACAGTGAGGGGCCGTAGGATATGGGAAGGGGTTGTAGGAACTCAGAACGTTTAGCTTGGACAAGACTCAGAAAGGGGCACAGTGGCTGGTTTTGAGTCCTTAGAAGATTGCTAGGGGGATGAGGGATTAGCTTCATTCCACTTGGAAGAGAGAATGAGGCTGACAACTTTGCGCAATCCTGCCTCACTTAAATCCAATTCACACGCAAGTCAAGGCATTACCCATGATGTCATTGGTCCTCTTCGAAGAGGAAGAAGGATCAACAACTTGGCCCCAGAGGGCAGATCCAGGGAGGGGGTGGGGCTGAGGCAGTTGTGAAATGGAAATTTAGGGAAATTTTTCTAATTAGAATTATCTCCAAGTGGAATGAGCCTCCTCTTGGAAGGTAGTGACTTCCCCCCTTTTGGAAGCCTTCTGGAAGAGGCTGGATTGGAATCCAAGCCAATGTGAAAAAAAGTTGAAGGGAATATTTAGCCTGGAGAAAAGAAGACTGGGTGGAGGGGGCGAGGGGGGATGCAGTAAGCTGTCTCCAAGTGTTTGTAGGGCTGTCGTGGGGAAGACAGATCCAACTTTTCTGCTTGGCCCCAGTGGGCAGAACCAGGAGCAGTGGGTGCAAGTTACACTGGGGGAGATTTAGGCTTGGTGGAAGGATGAACTTCCTAATAATTTGTTGTTGTTCAGTGATTTTTCAGTCGTATCTGACTCTTTGTGACCTCATTTGGGGTTTTCTTGGCAAAGAGATTAGACTGCTTTGCCATTTCCTTCTCCAACTCATTTTACAGATGAGGAAACTGAGGCAAACAGGGTGAAGAGACTTGCCCAGAGTCACACAGCTAGTAAGTGTCTGAAGCCAGATTTGAACTCAGGTCTTCCGAGTTCTATCCACTGAGTCACCTAGTTGCCTTCCTAATAATTGGAGCTAACCAAAAGTTGGAATGAATATAGATTCCCCCTGGTGGGATATCTTCTCTGGAAGGCTGGATGACAGTTTATCAACAGAATGAGAAGGCTCCTTGAGGGCATCCTGTCTTTGTACGCCCAACACCCAAGCCACTCCTTCCTTGTGCTGGTTGTCCCACTGAAGCTGCAGAAGAGATCCTTACTCAGTCATGGCCTCAGAGACCCCTTCCAGCTCTGAGCATCTGAGAGCCAGAGATTGTGACCTGTGGCAGCTAGCTCACCATCCAAGTGAATTCCCCTTTCCAGGAAGCTTCCTTTTCTCAGGAGTGGTGTTTTCTGAAAGCCATCATGGTGGAATGGCTCTAGTTAGCCCTCAGTTAGTGAATACGCCCAGAAAGGCGCCTGAGGAAAGAGCCTGCCCCCTGGAGAAGTGGCACCCTCCACTTCCCCATGTCAGTACCTTAGGGCAAAGCCCCATTGGTCTTGCGCTAGTTATACTTCTTGCCCCAACATTTCTCTGGCAGACTAGGAGCTCTGCTCACAGCAGCCTTGACAGGGAGCTAGGGGTGTGTCTCATTCTCACTGAGTGTCGGAGCCAAAGGAGCCCCATGCCTGAGGGATGTTCTGCTGTGTGACCTTGGCATGTTACTCTCCTCCGGGACTCAGCTTCCATCCTGCATATGATGGAGGGGCTGGTTTAGCTGGCCTCTATGGGCCCTCCAGCTCTATGTCTGGCTCTCGCTGATTGGACAGCTCCTCCTAGCACCTGCTCCCATTAGGCTGTACTCAGGACTTCTCCGACATTCCCTGCGCTGGGCACCTTCCTTCCCCACCCCCACCCACTCCTTCAACTTCCTTCTCTGTATTGTCTCCCTCATTAGCAGGAAAGCTCCTTGGGGGTAGACACTGTCTTCCTTTCCGCTTTTGTTTATATTCCCAGCACTCAGTCTGGGAATCCAGTCATCCAGGACTGAGAAGCTCCTCAGCTGGCTCAGGCCAGCAGCACATGAGACAAGGACTCATCCTCCAGCAGTCAGGCTGGATTTCTATGTGAACCTGGTGGAACCAACACTAGGTAGGAGCCGTGCTAAGTCTGAGCCCACATTCCTTGGTGTTTGAGGCGATATAGAGGAGAATGCACCTGCAAAGTACTGGGGGCAAATGGTTGCGTATTTGCTCTTAAATATCTTCATAATCACTCTTCATGTTAAATAGAACTGGAGTATTAGTCCCTTTGGGCCACTAGGTGGCGCAGTTGGTAGATCACTGGGCTTGGAGTCAGGAAGACCTGAGTTCAAATCCAGCCATAGACACTTACTAGCTGTGTGACCCTGGGCAAGTCACTTCATCCTGTCTGCCTCAGTTTCCTCATCTGTAAAATGAGCTAGAAAAGGAAATGGCAAATCATTCCAGTATCTCCCAAGAAAACCCCAAATGGAGTCACAGGGTTGGACGCAGCTGAAGATCAACTAGTCTCATTGGTGGCTAACGGTGGAGGAAATACAACCAGTGTGGACTTGAGTCACAGCAGTAGAGAAGATACTGCAATTGTTCAGGGCACCCCCAGACCCTTGAGGGAGAACGGACCCTCCTTCTAGAATAGTGAACTAGAGTATACTTGTTACATACAAACACGCATGCACACACACACACACGCACACACGTGCGCACACACGCATGCTCGCTTAGACTCATTCAGATACCATAGATACACGCTCTCACTGACTTAGGGCAAATTGCTGAACATCTCTGGGCTTCTGTGTGGTATCAATGACCTTTGAGGGCACTTCTGTTACTAAGTTGGTGCCCCCGTGATCGACCAAAGGTTCTCTAGATCAATTCCCCAGCCTCCCCCCAGTCACCAAAGCCTAGCACCCAAGAGGACCCTCCCCCCCGGGAGCCCATTCTGACTCTGTGGGCCTTAATCACAATCCCTCCCCTTACCACATGACAACAGACAGACACACACAACAGCTTTAGAAAAATAAGTGAATTTTAAATACATCAGATATCAATACCATACTGTTAAATACGTTTCTAATAAATAAATATAAATAGAAACTTGATAAATTATTCTCTGTGCCCTCAGGGATGGGCAGGGATGGGGGTGGGTCTTGGATCCCAGGGAATCATCCCTGGGGGACACTTGCCGTCCAGCAGCAGTTTCTCCCCAAGTGGCAAACTTTCTATCTCAGCGAGTCATTATTGTAGGGGGCAAACCATTGGCACAGAATAAGGTTGGCCCATGTCACCAGGGGAGGTGACCCCTTTGTCGCCCTGGGAGCCATCTCCAGTATCTATTGGGAGGTGAGGGAGTGAGAGGAGGGAAGGCTAGCTCCTTGGCACAAGGCCCCAACTGGCCATATACTTTCCTGACTCCCCCCATGCCCAAATCATCCACCCCAGCCCTCAAAAGAGGAAAACTCTTAGGGGCCCAGGGGCAGGTGGGAAGAGTAAAGTCAGAGCAGAAAGAATGGAGCTAAGGCCCCCAAAAGAGAGGGTAAGGGGGTGGGGGTGGGAACAAGGCAGGCACTGGACCCTGAGTCAAGCCTTGTCATCAGACCCCTGAATCAATGGAAAGTCGGCTTCTGATTCATGAAGAGTCACGGGGCACTGAGCTCTGCCGGCCCCATGACCTGAATGGGCAGCCCTGAAGGAGCAGAGAAGGCCTGGGGGAGGGGGTTCAGCCCAATAACAGCACTGTATCAATCACTATTTGGGGAGATGTCAGGAATCCCCCCTCCTATTAAAGTGCACCATTTCTAAGCCCAGAGTGAGAACCAGCAGAAAGGTGGATCAGCAGGTGAGCCCTTGGGCCCACCACCTCCAACTCCATCATTCTTCAGGCGGCCCAGCAGAGATGTCTAGGGCCGCTTCCTGGAGGCTGATATAGCACCATGCCCCTGGGGTTGAGTCAGCCGGCCCTGACTTTCCTCCTCTGGCCAAGCAGGACATTGAGAAGGGAACGTCTCTTCCTATTTCTCTGCCCGGGGCTAGCACCCCACGTTTCCAGCACCTTTCCCACAGCCTCCATGAAGCGCTGGTAGCTCTGTATGATCTTACATCTCTCTAGTTTCCACGAGAAACTTCCCACAGTTGGAGTTGGGGACAGGGTCCTTCTGCTTGCAGGAGCAGGGCAGGCAGCGGGGGCCGGGAGGAGGGCCTGAAGCATGCAGCAGACATTGTTATCGATGCCTTGAAGGTAGATGTGCATCCGCTTGAAGACGGGTTCATTGAGTTTCTGTTCAATGAGGCGCACGGTCTGACTCACAGTCTGGAGGAAGGTGACTGGAGGTAAGTCCTTAAGGGTCTCTGTCACGGGGAAGTCCGAGCTCCCTGTGCAGGTCTCATTGAGATGTGGTGAGTTTAGGCCTTGGTCAGTCATCTGAGGAAGAAAGAGGTGGGTGTTGGGGACCTCTAGAAGCAAGACCCCCAGCTCTGCTCAACCTAGGGTAAAAGCTCCCCAAATGATGGGTGGTTCAGTCCTAGACAGATGGGGGGGACATCTGAGAGATTTGAGGGATCAGCTAGGTCAAATTCCCTCATGTGACAGGGGAGGAAACTGAGGCCCAGAATCACAGAATGCCAGAGTGGGCAGAGGACATTAGAGTAGCCAGGAGCTGACCCAGAATTCCTTCCCCAGCACTTTCCAGACTTTTCCTGAAGTCTTCCACTGACGGGGAGCTCTCTACCTTTTAAGGCAGCCCATCTTCCTATGGGACAGCTTCACTGAACCCTCGTCTTCCTGCAGACAGACAGCTCCGGTCCCTAGAGGAAACTCTTCCCAATGCTCTTGGGGAATCGTAAGATTCCCCGCAGGAATCATCTAGGCTCATAAACCTGGAGCTGGGAAAGAGCCCAGAGGCATCTACTCTGATGGTTCCATTTTATGAATGAGGAGGATTTCATGGGATCATAGATCTGGTTTGAGAAGGGACATCAGAGGAGGAACTCACAGGCCAGGAGATGAAGAGATAGGGAGGAAGGCCAAAGGTAGGATCTGAACCCAGCTCCTCTGACTCCAGAGGCAGGATGAGCCATATCCAGAAGGAGGAGTTGGAGGAAGTGGGAGTATTTACACTGGAGAATGGAAGCCTCTGAGGGAGGCGGGAGCTGGGAGGGAGGGTTGTTGTTTGGAAGCAAGATCTGCTTGGCCTAAGAGGGCAGAGCTTGGGTAAGAAAGAGGCAGATCTCTGCTTGATGTTAAGCATTTATTATGGCCTTATTGTGGAGCAGCTGGGTGGCACAGTGTATAGAGCACAGGAGGCCCTGAGTTCAAATCCAGCCCCAGACATTTACTAGCTGTGTGACCTTGGGCAAGTCACTTAACCCCAATTCCCCTCCCCCCCCGACAAAAGAGCTTATTGTATGCCAAGCTTTGTACTAAGTGCTGGGTATACAAAGTAGGCCCTGCCCTGAAAGAACTCACATTCCAGTGGGAGATAGCGTGCAAACAACTAGGTACAGACAAGATAGAGAAGATGGGAAGTAGTGATAGAGAGTGCCAGGCTAGGAGTCAGGAAGACTCGTAATCCTGAATTCAAATCTGGCCTCAGACACTGACTGGCTGTGTGACCCTGGGCAAGTCACTTAACCTTTTGGCCTCAGTTTGCTCATCTGTGAAATGGAGAAGGAAATGGCAAACCACTCCAGTATCTGTGCCAAGAAAACCCCAAATGGGGTCACAAAGAGTCAGACACGGATGAACATGACCGAAGGCATTAGGACTGGAGAGAAAGGTGCATGAAGACTGGAGAGGTAGGAAGGAGTGGGCTTGGGAAGGGCTTTGAGTAAATGCCGAGCAGAAGACTTTACACTGCGTCCTGCAGGTGGTCACTTAGGGCTTTCAAGAAAACCACTCTGGGGGCATCTAGGTGGCGCAGTGGATAGAGCACTGGCCCTGTATTCAGGAGGACCTGAGTTCAAATCTGGCCTCAGACACATAACACTTACTTAACCCTATTGCCTAGCAAAAAAAAAAATGAAAACCACTCTGGCGACAGATGGAAGACATATTAGAGTAGGGAGAGAGGCTTGCTGAAGGGAGACCACCCAGGTTATCGCAATCATCCTGGGGAAGGAGGATGAGTGGAGAGAAGAGGGAGGCTATGAGAGGCGCAGAGAGGGTAGAAACATTCTTCAGCCATGGATCAGCTGTGGGGGCTGGGTGAGGATAAGGATGACACCAAGAGTTGAGCCTGGGTCACTAGGAGGAGGGCGGTACCCTCTACTGTGAGGAAAGTCAGGAAGAGGGGGGAAGATGAGTCCTCGTTTGCACGGGTTGAGGTAGAGGTGCCTAGGAAATGTCCACCAGACAGGCGCTGAGGGGAGACCGGAGTTCAGGAGGGAGACAAGAACCCACCAGAACTAATAAGGTCACTGTGTTATAGATGGAGAAGAGCAGAGAGCCCAGGGTAGAGCCTTGGGGGGCCACCCCCAGGTAGTGGGTGAGAAGTGTCCTACTCCAGACATTTCCTTAACTGTATGACCCTGGGCGCATCATGTAGCTCCCGTCAGCCTCAGTTTACTCATCTGTAAAATGGGAATAAGAACAGAACCTGTCTCGTAGAGTTGTTCTGAGAAGCAAATGAGATTGTGTGTGTGTGGGGGGGGCTAGCTATGATGATGACAGACAAGGGTAATGATCTCACACTCCATAAATTTGGTAGAAGAGATCTCAGAGGGCATTAAGTCCAATTTCTTCATTTCACGAATAAAGAAACTGAGGCTAAGAAAAGAGGAGGGATTCCACAGAATCCATCGTGTCTTCTATGATGTCCCCTGCTTGAAGCCACCTAGCTACGGGGAGCTCACCACCTCCACAGGCAGCCCATCCCACTTCAAAGTTCTTGTTGTTAGGAGGCTTTTCCAAACCCACTGAGGCTGGCTTCTGACCTCATCATTCCACTGACAGCAGTGCTTTCCTAACTGCCCAATCCAAGGGCCTCTCCTCATTCCGCATCCTCCTTGACCTCTCTGCTGCCGTTGGCACTGCCAATCACCCTCCTTTCCTGGGCATTCTCTCTTCTGCTTCTTCATGCCCCTGCCATCCAGTTCTCCTCCTCCCCTTCTGACCACTCCTACTCAGCTCCCCCTTGCTAGATCTTTATTCAATGAGCCACATTTTTTCACTGGTGAGATGAGGACTTTATGGGCATCAAAATCAACCTTATGGAGGAAACAGAAGGAAGGAAAGAAGACCTAAGTGCAGGCAGAAGTCTGTGGGGAAGTGTAACAATGTTTCCTCTCTAGGCCTCAGTTTCCTCATCCGTAAAATGAAAGGGTTGCGGTACAATAGAAGCCTGGAGTCGGGAAGACTCATTTCCCTGAGTTCAAATCCAGCCTCAATACTTGCTATCATTGTGACCCTGGGCAAGTCACTTCACCCTGTCTGCCTCAGTTTCCTCATCTGTAAAATGAGCTGGAGAAGGAAATGGCAAACCACTCCAGTATCTCTGCCAAGAAAACCCTGCAATGGGGTCATGGAGAGTCAGACACGATTGAAAACGGCTCAACAACAAGAAAAAATTAAGGGGTCCAGTCTTTAAGGACACTTCCATCTATAAATTTATGATCCGATGATATCCCCTCCCTGGTTCCTTGCACCATCATCTTCATTCAGCATTATCATAGCTAACATTTAAACGTTAGCATCTCCAAAGCAATATATGTGCATGTGCATATGTATACATATGTATATATGTATACATATGCATCAAATATTACTTGATTCTCACAACTTTGGGAAGTAGGTGCTGTCATTCCCATTTTACAGATGAGGAAAGTGAGGCCAAGAGAAGTTAAGTGACTCGTCCAGGGTCACACACACTAAGGAGCTGTCTGAGGCAGGATTTGAACTCAGGACCTCCTGACTCCAAGGCCAAGGTTCTACCCACTACACCCAGCTGACCATCCCTCAGCACAACAGGGAAGCTTTAATAAACTGAAATGATGAAGGTCATTTGGGGACAGGGTGGGGCGGGCACTTACAAAGGCCTTCAAGAAGTCTTTCTTTGCCATGTTCTTCAGTTGACAGAGGAGGGTCTGGTAGACAGGGCAAGTGCTTCCGGCCGCTGGGCACAGCCACAACAGACCACAGGTCAAGCCTGGAGCGGGAGAGAGCAGGGACACCGTGGTTGGGGGGAGGAGGAGGACCTGAGGGGACCAGCTTGGTCGTGGGATGGAGGGATCCCAGCTGCTGAATGGAAATAAGTCAGTGCTGGAAGGAAATCATCTCATTCTGAAAAGGCAGAAACTAAGGCCCGTAGAAAGGAGGTGACTTGCCCAGGGTCACCTGGGTTTCAGTCAATGGCCCAGGGTTCAGTCTCAGCTTCGCCACTTTCTAGCTGCATGACTGCCAAATGAAGGGATTGGGCCAGGTGGTCTTGGGAGCCTGTTAGGGTTGTGGGGGCAGGATTCTCATTCAGGTCCTCAGGCTCCAAGGCAGGGCTCTGGCCCCTATTTCCAGGGTGGAAGGGAGGCATTTGTTTCTAGCTTGTCTGTCTGTCCCTTCCTCCCAGCTGGATCAGGAGAGAGGCAGCATCCTCCAGGTGATCTTGGAGGGTGGAGGAGAGCAGAGGCAGGGTCCCGGAAGGGCTGCCTAGGGGACAGCTGGTGGGAGCAGCCCAAAGCAGTTTCTATCTACTTCTACATTACAGAACTAGTAAGTAGGGGGACCTGGATTCAAATCCTGCCCCAGACTCATCACCTAACCACTCTGTGCCTCAGTTTCCTCATCTGTAAAATGAGGGGCAGGGATCTGACCTCTAAGGATCCTTTCAGCTCTCAGTCTAATGGGAAGCAGTGGCCGGTAGAAGTCCCATGGGGTCTGGCATCAGAACAACTAGAGTCAAGGGCGGCTTCTGCTACTTTCTAGCTGTGTGACCTTAGGCAGGTCACTTCTCTGCCCTCTCTGGGCCTCAGTTTTCTTCTCTGCAGCAGACAACATGACTTCTGAGCTTTTCAGATCTTATCACTTGGGTCCCCACCTGCCCACCCGGGGGAGATGGGGTCTGGGGCCCAGCAGGGGAGGAGGGAGCCAAGCCCAGGGCTGAGCCCGCAGGGGGAGGGGTGCAGTTACCGCTCCCAGCCCGGGTGCCAAGCACTGGGCAACCACATGGTCGGAAGGCACTGGTTTCGCAATGAAAGGAAAGTGGCGACAGCTGCTTCTTCATTTCCTAAAAACTCGCTGGGTCCCAACACGCTGCAGCCACCGACGGGGTGGGCTCTGGGGAGCCCAGCCTCCCAAGCACATCCCAGACCTGGGCCTGGCCCGTGCCTCTCCTGCCGCCCCACCGAGCCCATCTCTGGGCATCTGCCAGAGCGGGCTGAGACCATGGGCACGTGTGTAAGTCTGAGTATATAAGTGTGTGCGTACCTGCTCTGCCACCCATGTATGAACTTCCTGGGGCTGGGGGGAGGGGGGTGCAGCGGACGGGGCAGGGGGGCAGGGTAGGAGCCTCTTCCTCCTTTGTTCAAAGAGAAGGGGAGATCTAGCTCCTCCAGAGGGCTGCCATGCTCTGATGCTGCCCTGAATCTGTGGCTGGCTGTGTGTCTTTGGGTCTGCCGGAGAAATGAGACCCTGTGTGAGGCAGGGCCTGAGAACATGTGGTCACCTGTGTTTGTATCTCATGGCTTTTGGGCAGGTGATTATGTGTGTCTGCCTATGGACTTAGAATGTGAAGGCCCTGGATCCTAACTGACTGTGTGACCCTGGCTGAATCATTTCATTTCTCTGGGGCTCAAAGTAATAGGCCCTTTGTGATATGCCCACACCAATGAAATCACAGGTCCTAGATCCAGGGGCATGAGAATTAGATGAGATAATGTATGATATGGAGTGAGGGCAGGGTATTCCCGCTAAACCTAAAACCCTTTACAAGTAGCAACAAATATTCTTACGTGATTGTGCTGTTGGGTTGTGCGTGCGTGGCTGGGTCGTGCACGGGATTATGCGTGTGTTGGTGCAGTTGGGTGTGTGTTTCCCAATAGTCATAACAAGACAAGCCATCAGGGGCCAGGACCCCGGCTTCCTGCAATTTCCACCCACCCCAGCACCAATAGGAGAGGCCCTCAGCCAGCCAGAGAGGGTTCAGTAGCTGCCTAAGCCCCAGCCCCCACCTTGCACCTTCCCAGGGCCATGTCCACGCCCCAGGCACACTCATCTGGACCAGTCCAGTGGAGAATCCTTCCCTCCCTCCTGCTGCCCTGTTCCCTTAGGTACCCCCCACATCTCGTCACCCAGCCCTGCCCCATTCCTCCATCCAAACCTGCCTCGACCATGAGCCTTTTACAAATCAGCCTCACCTTACCAGGGCATCTCCTTGGGCGTTCAGTTGATGCCTCGGAATTGTAGGATTCGGGGATCGCTTGTCCCACGCAATCAGCTGGCCCGTGGGATGCCTTCTAAGTGGCTTCTTGAGCAAAGTGTCTGAGTCTGAGGGGTGCCTGTGGCTTCTCATCTCCGCCCCCCCCAGTCCCCACAGCCTGGCTGCCTGCCTGAAGTGAATAGGGTATGGGAGGAAGTACATACCGAAAAGAGAGCTCAGTCTGAGCCGTGCCCACATGCTGGGTGCCCGCAGCCAGAGCGCGGCCTCCCTCGTCAGAGCCACCTCCACACTGAAGGCCTCGTGGCCCGAGGGCCACTTTATCCTCCCCCGACCGGCCAGCACCTCCCAGGATGGGGGTGGGGGCAGCTCTTCTGGGAACACGACCCCGAAAACTAGTGGGTCCGGGCGGAGTCAATGGGCGGTCGCTTCTCTGACCCTGGGCGCCTCCTAGAATTCTTCGAATTCAACCATCTTTGAGGTTAAGCCGTCTTCCCCCTAGGGTGTCACGGCACCCACACCCACGGGGTACAAGGAGGGGGTGTCCCTCCCTCCAGAAGGGAGAGATGCTGGGTCAGGTCCCCCACGTCCCCACCCTGGAGTCTGTGGTCACCCAGGCCGTCAGCTGTTTCACCAGGACATCCTAGGAAGGGGGGGACCCAAGGTTGTGGTTTGTGGGGAGAGGGAAGGGGCCCCGAGATGGGGTGGGGGTGGGGGTGGGGTGGTGGAGAGGAAGCCATCGCTCTACTCTGGCTTCCAACCCGCCACTACTCTTGGCACATCTGTGTGTGGAAACCACCAGCCTTCTGGGCATGGAGCCAGGTGCTAGACAAGTCCCCTCCACTTGGCGCTAGGGTCCTAAGGTCTTGGCCCCCAGCACTTAGCATTCCCCAGGGGTACCTGCTGGTCATATTCCTCCCTCTGCCTTTCTATCCCCCCGGCTCGGGTCCCTTCCTTCCATCCACCTTCTTCTCTAGTCCCTCTTGGGACAGAACATCTTCACATCCAAACCGCTAAGCCAGGAGCCAGGGGCCAAGAGCCCTGCCTCTCTTCCAGTCATGACACCAGAGTCTTGGGTGACCTTGAGGAAGCGGTTTACCTTCTCTCAGCCTCTTCTTTATCCATGAAAAGCAACATAGCAACCCCTGCCTGGTAGGCTTCATGGGAGATTGGGAGGGTGTAGAGATACCCTTCAATAACTCATTAACAAACTTAAAACGGGGGGTCGTGGGGGGAGCTGGGCGCAATGGAGAGAATGCTGGCCCAATCCTCCCAGGAGGGAGGACGTGACTCACAGAGCCTTGGTTTCACTTTCTCTGAATGAGAATCCTTGAGCACATGGAGTTCCATCACACTTTTCAAAGAATCTTCCTGTCATATCTTAACCGAAAACCGCCCGAGAACGAAGGCAGGTTCCTTCCCTCCGCTCAGAAATCAGGGGGCTGGACTAGCTAATTTCTATGGTCCTGGCCCTTCCTGGGGTTCTACATTATTCCACTCAGCTCGATTCAAATATTTCTGGCGTGCCTACTGTGGGCCACGCACTGTGCTAGGTACTGGGGGGATGACAACAGGGAAACCCCCCCTGCCCTCGGGAAGATCACATCTGAGGGGAGGTAAAACATGAGCACCCAGGAGTCAATATGAAGAGAGAGCAGGCGTATTCAATCCAGGCCTGTGATTCCATCCATATGAGGAACTCCCGGTACGGAAAACTCCATCCAATGATGCACAGCAGAAAATCATCTGCAGTGTAAGGGCTGAAAGAGTTCCCTAGAGCTCAAAGAGATTGATCCGACCCGGTCACCCAGGTAGCATGTAGGCAACTTGGGAGCCGATGGCACCAGACTACTCCTATGTTTACAGTGCCCTTTCAATTACAAAGTAAATACAGAATACTTTGAGGGGCTGAGAAAGAACACTAAAATTCTAGGTTCCAAGGTGCCTCCCAGCTCTGACATTCTCTGTTCTAAGGCCCCCCCCAGCTCTGACATTCCCTGTTCCAAGGCCCCTCCCAGCCCTGACATTCCCTCTTCTAAGGCCCCTCCCAGCTCTGACATTCCCTGTTCTGAGGCCCCTCCCAGC